TCACCTTGTCTAGCCACAACTTACCTGCCTACAGTTGTCACCCAGTTAATCTCAATTAGTGAATTAATGCACTGATTAGGTTAGGATTCTCATAATTCACTCATTTCACCTTACATTATCTCACACATGAGCTTTGAGGGGACACCTCATATCTAAACCAGAGCAATGCTAAAAGTCTCTACATTACAGATCTACTTTTCTCAGGACAAAAAGAACATGCATCAGCTGTGGCAGTTTTCCGTTATTTCATCATTATTGGTTGAGTATCACACTACTATGAGAGCTTATATTATAGAAAACAGAACACATAAATTGGAAGTATAAAGTAACGAATGTTGTCATGAGGTATAGAATGAGCATTCGTAATGTAACTTAAGTAAGGAATGCAGTGTTGGAAGATCAGGGAGCTTATCCCAAAGAATGTAATTTCTAAATTTAAACCTGAAGATCTAAAGCAATAATACCATTGGCAATGTGAATAATCCTAGTCCTAGAAAACTTTATGGGCAAAGATCTATGGACAAAAGAGAACACTCTGTATAACTACAGTATACCTGGGGGTTAAGGCAGGAACCCAGCAGATGTGTCTCAAGGGCTAAACCAAGAACCAAGGCAGTGGAGAAACAGTTTTACCCATTGGTTTGCAGTGCTTGTGGACTACCTAAAAAGAGAGACCTTGGATACATGTCTCAGAAAGAGATAAAAATGATGACTGAAAACTTTAACAGAAAATCATTTGACAGGGACAGTGTACCCTAAGAATGAAATGGGATCAGAATAAAATTCCAGAAAAGAATCCTGAGATTGCAAGGGATGACAAAAACAGAAGCCCTTGAAAGAGACTGAAGAGTTTGGCCTAAGGATTAGAGAAAAAAAAAAAAAAAGCAGAGTATAATGCAACAAAATCCAGAAGAAATAGCCTTTGAAGAAGGAAGGAGTAGACAACAGTGTCTAATTATGGTAGAAGAGTCAGTAAGATAATAACTCCAAAAGATCCCCCAAATTCGTCAACATTGTTTTGGATAAGAAGCCATTTTTAAAAGGTATTAAAAATACAAAAGAATATGTTGACAAGAGGTTCTAGATTATGTGGAAGGGTGGGATCTAGAGCACAGGTTAGGGTGCTAGTTTTAGGAGAAGGCGTACCTCTGATTGTGGCAAGTAATAAATATGCCATTGCACATGTTGCCATATACAAGCCTGCTCCTTCCAGTACTAAGTGAAGTCTGAAGTAAAATGGTTAAAGTTGTATGGAACTAGATTAATGGGATATTCAGGAGGCAGAGTAGATCTAGTTTCTGTTAAGATACTGGTACTAAAGGAAGGACTAACCAAGGTCAACTATAGAATGTCTGATCTTGGTGATATGGAAATTCAAGAGGAAAAGCAGGCATCAGAAAGAGAATCATGTAAAGACAAGTGATTTTGAAGTATAGCTGGAAA